GTCGTCGTCGTCGCCGCCGTCGTCGTCGTCGCCGTCGTCGTCGACGTCGTCGTTGTCGTCGTCGTCGTCGTCGTCGTGGTCGGTCCCCTGTCCGTCCCTCTTGGGGGTCGGGTCGACGGTCCGCGGCCGCCCCGCCGATCAGCGCTGCCGCTGGCCAGGCCGACGGTCCGCGGCCGCCCCGCCGCTTGCCGGGGCCCGGCCTGCAGGGAAGAACGCTATACCCCCCAAAAGGGTTTCGATCGAAAACGAAGAGGGCAGTTATCGAGGGTTTGGGGAATAGGCGTTATTGGACACTCGAGCAGATAAGGGCGAACAGTCTTAAACTGATTGTTGTTGTTGTTGATGTTGTTGTTGTTGTTGTTGTTGTTGTTGTTGTTGTTGTTGTTGTTGTTGTTGTGGAACTTCCATTTCTGAAGAATAATGATTGTTGATCCCCATCACCGGTGCATGTTGCTTTTCTCAATCAAAGTGTGCCCCTCGACGCTCGCACCCGGTTTTTGGACAAGGAAAGTCTTGGTGCTCAAACTGTGCCCCTGGCCCCCCCGGATTGCAACAACAACGGCTCCCGCCTGAAACTTCTTCACAATTTACTCACGATCGGTGCTCCCGCTTGTGACTTCCTCACCTCAGGATCGGTGCTCCCGCTTGTGATTCACTCGCAATTTAGTCAAGACCCCCGCTCCCATCTGAGATTTCCTCACAATTTACTCAGGAGCGGCGCTCCCGCTTGAGACCTGTTCGCAATTGAATCAAGATTTCCTCGCAATTGAGACCCCCGCTCTCGCCAGACAGCCCGTCACATTTTATTCAGGAATTCCGCTCTCACCTGTGACTCCCATGCGATTTATTTAGAAATCGCGTTTTCGACGCTCAGGAAACACGCTGCGCCAAGGACGCCGTCACAATTTATTTAGGAATCGCGCTCTCGCCATACTCACGCATCCCGCTTGAATGTCCCACCCGCCCGACCCGCCCGTCAGGGGATCGCCCGCCCGTCGTGGGCTCCCGCCTGAGATTTCCTTCAGGAACGGCGCTTTCGCCTAGGACTTCATCGAACGTTCACGCTCTTACCTTCCTGCTCCTCCTCCCTCCCTCTCCTCCCTCCTCTCTCCTCTCCTCCCTTCTATCTCCCTCCTCTCTTCCCTCATCCTTATGCCTCTCTGCCCTATCCCCTCTCCCTCCTCTCCCTCCTCCCTTCTCCCTCCCCTCTCCTGCCTCCTCCTTTTTTTTCTTTATTTTTTCTTTCTCTCTCTCTCTCTCTCTCCCTCTCTCCCTCTCTCTCCCCTCTCTCTCTCTTTCTCTACCTCTCTTATCTGTCTGTCTCTCTCTCTCTCTCTCTCTCTCTCTGCCTCTACTCAACCGCCCCCATCTTGGCTCCTTCTCTCCTGGCGTTTTCCCTCTTCCTTCGTCCCTCCCCCTCCGTTCCTCCCACTCTCCCTCGTTCTCCCCCTCCTTTTTATCATGGCCCACACCAATTCCAATGGTGGGTGGGCACATGTACGCACACGGAGGATTGTCTGCCCGTTCAGGTTTGCCCGCCTGTCTAAGCCCGCCGCCCCCCGCACAGAGAACGAATCCCCCCAATGGTGGTGTGATCGAAGACAAACAGGGCGGGTATCGAGGGTATGGGGAACTCGTTTATAATGACACACGGGCAAGTAAGAGCGAACAGTCTTATAATGATTGTTGTTGTTGTGGTTGTCGAACCCCACGCGGTGCCCATTGTGTTTTTTCAAATAAAGTGCTCCTCCCAGGGCTGGCACCGTATTTTTTAGAAGGGGAAATCTTGGGGTTAAAACTGTACCCCTTGCCTTCCGGTTGCATCAACAGCATCGCCCGCCTGATGCCTCTTCACACTGTGTTCCAACATCGCGCTCTCGCGCGGGACGTCCTCACAAATGTTGGACGCTTCGCGTGACCCCACCAGCCCATCCATAGTCGATGCCCAGAGGAATTGCCTCGACCGGGAAAGTGGGCAGTACACACAGGAAGGGTCCCTCAGTGGAGGCCCCTTGGAGCGTCTTGGGGGCCTCTTTGGCGGTCCCGGACGCCTCTTAGAGCGTCTGGGGTGCCTCGAAGAGTATTTTGGGGCCTCTTAGGGGTCTTTCGGGAGCCTCTTGGAGGCCTCTTGGGCGCCTGTTGGGGCCTCCTGGGGCCTCCTGGGCGCCTCTTGGGCCCTCTTGGAGCGCTCTTCGGAGCCTTGGTGCCGCTCTTGGAGCCCTCCTGGGCCATCTTGGAGCCATCTTGAGGCTTCGGATGGCCATCGGAAGCGAAAAGGCGACCTAAGCTTTTGGACGGATTTGGGCCTCTTCGGGGCCTCCTGGGGGAGTTCTTTGGCCACTTGGAGCCGTCATGGAGCGGTCTTGGGGCCTCTTGGAGCATCGTGGGAGCCATCTTGAGGCATCTTGGGATACCTTGAGCCATCTTGGAAGTCATCTTGGGTTCGCCCAGGCGCTCTTGGAGTCATCTTAAGCAGTGCCCCCCCCCAGGAGGCCCAAATGGTCAAGACTTTAGTACAATCAATGATTTTGCCATTCTTGCCGAGGCCTCTTGGAGCGTCTTGGGTGCCTCTGGGGGGCCTCTTGGGGCCTCTTGGGAGTCTCTTGTGGGCCTCTTGGGGGCATCCTGGGGGGCCTCTTCGGGGCTTCTTGGGGCCTCCTGGCCACCTTTTGGGGCCCTCTTGGGGCACCCTTGGGAGCCTTGGGAGCGCTCGTGGGGCCATCTCGGAGGAGATCGATCAAACAAGGGGGGGTCTTAAGTTGCGCCGCCCACCCAAAAGGCCAAAATGGGGCCAAAACCTTGGTACAACCAATGATTTTGGCTACCCGCCCTCCCAACATATACGTAGCACCCGATTTTGGCCCGAGCCTCAGCATTTTAGGCAGTCGTCTGTGGATGGGCAGCTACTGGGGGCCAATCCGCCGCCGCCGCCGCCTCCGCCGCCTCCGCCGCCGCCGCCGCCGCCGCCGCTGCCCGCCGCCGCCGCCGCGCCGACCCCACTGCCAACTCGCCGCCGCCGCAGCCGCTGCCGCCGCAGCCGCTGCCGCCACCGGCCACTCGACAAGCAGACGCTCTCATGCATACGCACAGACTGCACGATCGGGCGACAATGCAGCGAACGATGGTATGGAGATGCGCAGCCTGGTCTGCGACTCAACTACCACAATAAGGACCGCGACATGTTCTCCATTGGCATCCGAGCCTCCACACCGACCAGAGTGGGCAGCGTCATCATGGAGGACAGTGGAAAAGATGGGACGATGATATCCGTGAGTTTCTCCGTCCTTTCCACGCCGCAGACAAGCAGCCCTAGATAATACACAGCACGTGGCTGCAATCGACTACAAGACATGAACGGGAACGGGTGGACACATATTTCGTCACCTGTACGGCCTTTGGCACCCCAACGACACCATCATATCGAGTAGGTCATCGATGCTCTTGGATTTTCCTGCGACGTTATGGCCTTACACGCTCCGCCCTTAAAGGGCGAATGCCCGCATGAGCGTTCCGTTCCTATCCTCTCCGTTCCCCAAGGTTCTCGTGCTGGTCCTTGGGATCTTCGGGTGCACCAGGGCCTTCTGTTGCGCTCCTGGGCCCCCGAGGCTCAGCATCGCTAGATTTTCGTGCGCTGCGTACCCATCGGTCGTTGAAAGTAGATGTTTTAGGATCCCCAAATTCCAACCTCGAGTGGCTTCACTTCAATGATCGAGTGGCTTCACCTTTCCCGTTCTCCCAAGGGGGCGGGCGGAACCCAATCTACTTTCAACTCCTGCCTACTTCATGTTTATACCTCCTTCCTCCGACCGATGGGTACCCTCGCATCCTTACCCCTCGGCCCATCCTCGGCCGCTTTTGCTGGCCGCTCTGCACTCGCAGAGTGTCGACGTGGCCTTCCAAGGCCCCTGCATCCTCATCGTGCGTCCGGATTGTTCGGGTCGACCGTGCACGTTTCTTCGCCCCCCCTCTAGTCATCGCCCCCGTCCATGAAGCGGCGCCCAAGATCTGCTCCCGCCTCCCCTGGGAGAGCTGCGGCCCCGCTGCCCGACCTCTTCCCTCCGCACGGGTGGGGGGCAGCTGCCGCCTCCATCGGGCCTCGCGGCGCCCCCTCCTCCGCCTCCAGGGGGCAGGGTCTGGTGAGGAGGAGGAGGAGGAGGAGGAGGAGGAGGAGGAGGAGGAGGAGGAGGAGGAGGAGGAGGGAGCCCTGGCCCGCTGGGGCCGGGGACGGGCCTGGCGCTGCCGAGAGGCCCGCCCTGCCCTGCCCCTGGGGAGACGGCCATCGCACCCGCGACCTCTGCGGGTGCGTGCGGTGCGCAGGCCCAGAGCACTCGACTCCCCGCCGTCCGGCCGCGCTCTCCGCTTCCCTGCCTCGGGGGCAGCTTCAGTCGCCGGTTTTCGGGCGTCGTCGTCGGTTCTCGGCGGCATCCCCCTCCCCCTCCTCCTCCTCCTCCTCCTCCTCCTCCTCCTCTCCTCCTCCTCCTCCTCCTCTCTCCTCCTCCTCCTCCTCCTCCTCCTCCTCCTCCTCCTCTCCCCTCTCTCCTCCTCCTCCTCCTCCTCTCCTCTCCCCTCCCCTCCTCCTCCTCGTCCCCCTCCTCTCCTCCTCTCCTCCTCCCCCTCCTCCTCCCCTCCTCCTCCTCCTCCTCCTCCTCCTCCTCCTCCTCCTCCTCCTCCTCCTCGGGATGTTCTCCAGCAGCCGTGCCCCGCCGCTGCCGTCCTGGGGGTGCCCAGATCGTTCCCAACGGCCGCCGGAGGCCCTGAGCCACGGCCCGAGGACCTTTGGGGACGGGGCTAGGCCCAGGAGCAGCATCGACACCCACTCGCCCACTCGTCCCCGGTCGGAGCCTGAGGTGGCCCAGGAGCGTGCGAGTTCGCTATCGAGGGTCCAATCGCCAACCTGTCGGCCGCGTGTCGACGATTCCAAGTCAATGTCCCCCCCCGCTGAGCCAGTCCCCCGTATCGTTCCCACTCGCTGCCCCGTCTCCCCCGCCCGCGCGCGACAGGTGAGCCCCTGGCGCCAGAGCCACGTGGACGGCCGAGGCACCAGCGAGGATGTAGCGGCTAGCGTGGCGAGGCCACCAGCACAACGACCCTTCGTGAAGCAGGTGCGCAAAGAATGGAGGGGGCAGGATGAAGTTTCCGAGAAGACATGGGGTCAAGGGCGGGACAACAGGGTGCAGACGACGAGGCCGGCAAGGTGGATGTGATTTCGAGGCAGAGGGCAGCCCTAAGCAGGGTGGGCAGTGGGAGGGAACAGTTGGAGCCCAGAGCCCAGAGGGGGTTTGGCGGCCGAGGGTGATTGCAGGTCTCGCTGCCTGCAGCAGTCTCGAGTTCCTCCGTCTGGCGCAGTCCTCAGCACGACTCGTCGTCAGGCGCTGGCGGTGGCAGCCAGTCTGGCAATCCATCGCCCTCGCCGTATCCCCTTTGGTCTCTGGTGCTGGGGCAGGGAGAATCGACCCCAGCGCAGACCCACTGCAGGCGGGTGTGCCCCATCGCGCGCTGCTGGACTAGAACATGCTGCCGGCCTGTTTGCATCTCCGCCCGCCATGCCGCCCAGCACGCTGACTATGGGGCGCAATGGGTCCGCGGAGCCATAGATGGTGAGTGCATGAAAAAGGCCGCTCCGTGCGCCGTTTGCCCCCGTGCCATCTCGCCAGCATCGCAGATTGGCCGGCTGGGGGCCCTTGGGTAGTCCAGGCGACTCGCAGGGTGTTCTCAGTTGCCCTCTCTCTTTCACCTTCTTCCCTCGGCCCCATTCTTCACTGTGCACTCATCCTTCGGCCCTCTTTTCTTCCCTTGGCTCTCTGTCCCCCCCGAGGATGAGAAGACAAGACGGGGCACCGAAGAAGCCCCCTGCCCGTTGGCCGTGACCGCTCGGTCCTGAACATCAGGCACGACGCTGGAATACGGAGGGTTTCGGGTTCGGAAGGGGCTCGCTGTTCCTTAGGTCCTTCCATGATTGTTCCCCTTCTGGTCCTCGTGCGCCCAGGCGTTTTTGGGACCCAAATGGGACCTCGTTACTAATTCTGCGTGTGTGACCTGCGGCAGTAGCTTGGCTATACTCAGGCCTCCCTTGAACTAACCCTCGGCACTGATCCTGACTTCCATGATCGCGCCTGCTCTGCCCATCCGGTTAGCCATAGACAATCCCGCAGCCAAGATTGCCATGCCCCGTTGGTGTCGTGCTCGTGGATCATGATGCCATCGGCGGGAATAATCGTCGAGGCTTGGTCGAGTGATCGTCGAGGATGGGCTTCCTCTTACTGTCCCCCGTCTGGACCCATCGATTCACGACTGCCGTGCGGGACTCGGGTAAGGGATACACACGACGGATTCCCGCATCGGTGTTTTCTGGGCCCATGCCGCCCAAATGGGGTCGAAGTAAACAGGTTTCGTAGCAAATCATGTGAGCATAGTGTGTCCTCGCAATTCCGTTTTCAGAGCGCTTGAGGTTGCGCTATAGGTTGGTAATCTCTGACAAAGTGCCGATGTAGCCTCGATTCGCGTCGACTAGCGCCGGTTCGAAAGAGCCAACAAGATGGTATGGCAGGCTCCCATGAGTTGCCGCAGAAGATGGGGTCGGTGGATCGCGCTGCATCGCCGATGCACGGGCGATGCGGCTTGATGTGGCTCCCGATCTTCTTCACGCCGACGTCGCCGATGCATCGCCGAGGCATTGGCGAGGCATCGGCGACGCGGCACGATCCTCCGACCCCATCTGCTCTGACCCCGTTCGGTGGGCCTCCGCCGGGGGGCTGCTGTGCGCTCGTCGCTGTGCCCCGCCCCCACCCCCCTCTGGTGGATCTCGGGCGAGGCTAGGACTGGGATAAAATCGTTCCAGAGCGTTCCGGAACGATCTCAGAGCTTTCCGGAACGCTCCGAAAAAGGCCACGGCGCCCGATACATCCTCCAGAACTGCCAGATCTCAGAGATCTCCGTTTCGTGCCTGTCGGTCTTTGTCCCTGTCTTTCAGTATCGTTTTTAACCGATCCCTACCCCATCCCCATCCCCATCCCGATCCCCCCCATCCTGCCACCCCATTGGGTATATGCCCCTCGAAGCTCGAAGGGAACAGCCTATATCCCCATCCAGGGGGTAGATCGGCCAGTGGGCCACGCCCGTGGGGATCTTTAGGGATCGGTTAAACGATGCTGCGCGGAACGAGGCGGAGGAGGAGGAGGAGGAGGAGGAGGAGGAGGAGGGGAGGAGGGGAGGAGGAGGAGGAGAGGAGGAGGGGAGGAGGAGAGGAGGAGGCAGGAGGAGGAGCAGAGCAGGAGCAGGAGCAGGAGCAGGAGCAGGAGGAGGAGGGGAGGAGGAGGAGGAGGCGGAGGGAGGAGGAGGAGGAGGAGGGAGGAGGAGGAGGAGGAGGAGGCGGAGAGGAGGAGGAGGGGGAGGAGGAGGAGGAGGAGGAGGAGGAGGAGGAGAGGAGGAGGGAGGAGGAGGAGGAGGAGGAGGAGGAGGGGAGGAGGGGGAGGAGGAGGAGGAGGAGGAGGAGGAGGAGGAGGAGGAGGAGGAGGGAGGAGGAGAGGAGCAGGAGGAGCAGGAGGAGCAGGAGGAAAGGTAGGAGGGAGGAGGAGGAGGAGGAGGAGGAGGAGGAGGAGGAAGTGAGGGAGGAGGAGGGAGGAGGAGGAGGAGGAGGAGGACGGAGGAGGAGGCGAGGAGGAGGAGGAGGAGGAGGAAGGAGGAGGAGGAGGAGAGGAGGCGGAGGAGGAGGGAGGAGGGAGGAGGGGGAGAGGGAGGAGGAGGAGGAGGAGGAGGAGGAGGAGGAGGAGGAGGAGGAGCAGCTCTTCTGGGCGCAGGCGGCCTGGCCCCGCTCCAGCCTTCCGGCTCCAGAAGGAGGCCGTCCTCACACGGCCGCGCAGGCCGCTCGCGGGGGGGGGCCCTCGCGGCGCCCCTCGCGGAAGGGCGGCCTCCCGAGGGCGCGGCCCTTTGCGGGGGGCACCGGCTGGGCCGCCGCGGCGATGGCGGACCTCCAGGCGGGCCGCGCGGCGAGCGCCCCCCCGCGAGCGGCGGGCACATTTTGTCGGAGCGGGCGATCCTTTTCGCGCGGCTTTTCGGGCCCCAGGGCCCACACAGGTGGAGATCCGGCTCGAGCAAGGGCCGCAGACAGAGGGGGTCTGGGGCTTCGGTCGTCGTGCTTCTTCGCGACGTGTATTTTTTTTCGCAGCGTCGGCTCTCTGGGTCCGTTTCCGCGGCCTCGCGGTGTGGATTCCGGGGCGCGACCCCGCGGACTCGGGGTCGCACGGGTACGTTCCGCGCGGGGCATCCGCGAGAAGATGTTTTGTATTCGCGGGGGCGCGGCCCAGGGGCCCCGGCCCCCGGCCTGCGAGGCCGCGGATACGGGCCTGTATTTTTCCTACGACTCCCTTTGAGCAGGGTCCACTCGGGCGTTTTCGGAACAGTTTCGGGGCGTTTTCGGCAGAGGTTTCAGACGCTTTCGTGGGTTCCTGGAGGTTTGCCGGCCTCGTGATGAGAAGGTCCGAATTGTGACCCGAGTATCGAGGTTGGTTCCACTTCGATCCGATCGATGCGATTCGGTATCGAACCCGCCTGGGTCGTTCCGATGCGATTCCGATATTTTGGCGATCCCGTTGGGCCCGACCCGATCCGACGCGCATTCTGATTCGATCCGGTTTCCCGCATTCGATGCCGACTGATCCTGTTCAGGGGCTTCTCGGCCCCTCAGAGGAGAAGCAGAGACCACCGCACCTCGGGGTGGCGGTCGATGAGCCTGTCCTGCCTCCTCGGGCGCTCCATTTCTTCCCTGACTGCCAGGGGCTGCAAGAGTTGAGAAGGCGACAACCCACCCCCACCCCCAGTCCCGACGCCCACCCCCGAGCCTGCGATTCAAGGGGTCCGGACCGGGGGTCGGGGTGGGCTTTCTCCATCCCTGGACCCCGAAAAACCACCCCCACCACCAGTCCCGACCCCCCCGGGATCGCGGGTTCGGAAATGGGGTCGGGACTGGGGGTGGGGGTGGGTTGTCGCCTTCTCAAGAGTGCCACCCATGAGGCAGCTGCTGTCGACGATCGAGGGTCGAGGCTGCAGGCCCTCGATCGGTCGGGGTGGGGGTGGGTTCTCGCCTTCTCAAGGGTGCCACCCGTGAGGCAGCTGCTGTCGACGGTCGAGGGTCGAGGCTGCAGGCCCTCGGGCGGTCGTGCGGGCGGCGTGGGGCACCCTCGGGGCGTGCCCCGGGGGAGCTCCTGCGGGGCTCCCGGGGGCCGGGAACCTACAGTGCCGTTTTTTGATACATGCTCCGCGTGCGGATCATGCATGAAACATGCAGGGATTCAGTATTGAAAACAACGATGAGTTCATGCATACATGTATTCATAAGTTAATCATGTATCAAACATCCGATCTTTTCAAAAACCCTATGTATTAGAAACTGTCCTGTAGGCTGAAATCGGGCCTGTCCCCCTGCAAGGGGATTTTCGACGAAAAACAAAAAGTACCCCAAAAGTAGCCAAAAAATAGTTTAAAAATAGTCTGGGGACCATTTTTTGGGTATTTTTCGACCTTTTTGGGGTATTTTTGGGGTATTTTTTATCTTTCGTCGAAAGTCCCCGTGAAGGGGGACACGCCCGACATAAACCTAGGCCTCCCAGATGGGGTCGGAGTGGACGGGGTCGGAGGATCGCGTGCCTCGGCGATGCGGCTCGATGTGGGGCCCGATGTTCTCCGCGCCAGCGTCGCCGATGCATCGCGCCGATGCATCGGCGATGCGTCTTGGTCCTCCGGACCCATCTGCTCCGACCCCATTCCGGGGGCCTTTAGGGAAGGGCTGCACCACGTCTGGAGGTGGATGTGCTCACGCGGTGTTGATGCAGCAGAAAAGCTGCTCACGGTTCGGGTGCGCAGCGCAGCCCTCGGGGCGCTGGCCTGCCGTCCGTCTGCCGGGGTGTTCGTGTGCGCTTCTCTATGGGTGCCCCGTCCCCTCCCGAGTCGCCGCTGGGACTCGGGGGTCGCCGACTGAGCGACGCTGGAAAGCGGGGTCGACTGCGCCGACATTCGCGTATAAGCTTTCCACGTAAGGCCGCGCGTAAGCGCCCTCTTCTTCACGATGTGTGCCACGCTCTTGGCGCTTGGTAAGCCGCCGCGTAAGGTCGCTCTGTCATCTCGTGACGCTTTCTTTTTTCGCCGCCCACTTTAAAGCGTTCTAGAAAAGCTTCGTCTTCCTGGGGAAAAGATGACATGTCTTCCTGGACGCGTCTCTGACACTGGCCTCTCTTGGTGGCTTTGCTGTTTACCAAGGATTTTACGGCATGACGAATTTGTTTGGTGTCGGCCCCGCATGCGTGTGGTTCCACGTGTGCTGCGCGCTCCGTCGCCACCAACGTATGCTGTCACAGCTCCCGCGTTCGACGACGCTCATTTTCTTTTCGGGTCGCGCCTTGGTGGTGCTGCCGCGCGCTGTAGGCGTATCGCTCCACTTATTATTCATGCGTGTGCATCTTGCGTCGCCGCTGTGTAGGTTAGTACCCAACCCGTCAGTTTCGCCAGGCTATAGGCCCCCAGCGCTACCCCACCAATCGGCTGCCCTGGCAGCCTTGCAGTTATTTGTTGCACTGTCTAGCACCAATTAGCACCAGACTGCTGGCGCTTCAACTTATTCGAGTCTAACTTCTGTTCCTCGTTTTGTTGACCGCTGCACGTTGTTACCTAACAGCGAAGACTGATAGGTTTCTAGTGGTGTCAAAAGAGAGCATCTGATGACTCAGAAGGGAGGTCTGGGCGGCATCTGGACAGCGAGGGCCGGGCTCAGGGCCGGGCTCGTTTTAAGCAAACAGTCACACACTTCGTGCTCTTCGACCTCCCAGAACTCCATTCCCGGGCCACATTTTGAATGCCCGGAGCCAACTGTAGGCCACTTCGTGCTCTTCGACTCCCCATAACTCCATTCCCGGGCCACATTTTGGATGCCCAGAGCCAACTGTAAGCCACTTCGTGCTCTTCGAGTTCCCAGAACTCCATTCCCGGGCCACATTTTGAATGCCCGGAGCCAACTGTAGGCCACTTCGTGCTCTTCGAGTTCCCAAAACTCCATTCCTCGGGCAACATTTTGAATGCCTGGAGCCAACTGTAGGCTACTTCGTGGTCTTCGAGTTCCCAGAACTCCATTCCTGGGCCACATTTTGAATGCCCGGAGCCAACTGTAGGCCACTTCGTGCTCTTCGAGTTCCCAAAACTCCATTCCTGGGCATGATTTTGAATGCCCGGAGCCAACTGTAGGCCACTTCGTGGTCTTCGAGTTCCCAGAACTCCATTCCTGGGCATGATTTTGAATGCCCGGAGCCAACTGTAGGCCACTTCGTGTTCTTCGAGTTCCCAGAACTCCATTCCCGGGCCACATTTTGAATGCTGAGGCAGGCTGAGGCTGAGGCTGAGGCTGAGGCTGAGGCAGGCTGAGGCTGAGGCAGGCTGAGGCTGAGGCCGAGGCTGAAGGCAGACTGAGGCTCAGGCTGAAGCAGGCTGAGGCTGAGGCTGAGGCTGAAGCAGGCTGGCTGAGGCAGGCTGAGGCTGAGGAGGCTGATGCAGGCTGAGGCTGAGGCAGGCTGAGGCTGAGGCTGAGGCTGCAGGCTGAGGCTGAGGCTGAGGCAGGCTGAGGCTGAGGCTGAGGCAGGCTGATGCTGAGGCAGGCTGAGGCTGAGGCTGAGGCTGATGCAGGCTGAGGCTGAGGCAGGCTGAGGCTGAGGCCGAGGCTGAAGGCAGACTGAGGCTGAGGCTGAAGCAGGCTGAGGCTGAGGCTGAGGCAGGCTGAGGCTGAGGCAGGCTGAGGCTGAGGCTGAGGGCTGAGGCTGAGGCAGGCTGAGGCTGAGGCTGAGGCTGATGCAGGCTGAGGCTGAGGCAGGCTGAGGCTGAGGCCGAGGCTGAAGGCAGACTGAGGCTGAGGCTGAAGCAGGCTGAGGCTGAGGCTGAGGCAGGCTGAGGCTGAGGCTGAGGCAGGCTGATGCTGAGGCAGGCTGAGGCTGAGGCTGAGGCTGATGCAGGCTGAGGCTGAGGCAGGCTGAGGCTGAGGCCGAGGCTGAAGGCAGACTGAGGCTGAGGCTGAAGCAGGCTGAGGCTGAGGCTGAGGCAGGCTGAGGCTGAGGCTGAGGCAGACTGAGGCTGAGGCTGTGACTGCGACTGCCGTTGCCACTGCGACTTTCATCGCGAATGCGACTGCGACTACCTGAACAGCAGAATTCTACAACTGGATTCTCATGTGAATCTTAAGGGGAATGCTTCCAGATATGCTCCTACACATCGCTGTTAGGTTGCATGCCGGGATATTTTTTATATGCCTCGCTTTTTCATTTCACCACCTTTCTGCACTGTAGTGGTGGACGCATCCTTCACTGCCCGCTCCGACTAACTTCGTCCGCAATTAGCATTTACATCTGCCGACCGCGCCTGCGGCTTCTCTACGCCGCCGACTTTTCAAACAAGTGTGTGTATGTATGTATGTTTTTGTTGTTTTCTTTTCTCTCTCTCTCTCTCTCGCTCTCTCTCTCTCTCTCTGGCTGTCTTCCTCTTTTTTGGGGGGGGACAGCGGCTCAGGGGGACTGGCCCAGGGGGGGGGGGGAAACCACAGCCCCCGATCGCCCAGTCATCGCCGATAGGGGGCCTGGTAGCCCACCCCGCACGGGAGCGTCTGGTTTCGCTGTCGTGGGCCTGTCGCCGATCCATCGACGATGTACCGCCGATTCGAGCCCGACGTTCCCCCTACCTATGGGGGCTGCTGGGCCAGTCCCTCTGCGTGCCTATCCATTGGTCTTTTCTGTTTGTCGGTGCCTTTTTTTGAATCCCCTGGCTATACAACGGACGTGGCCGCTTGGGGGCGAGGAGGGAAAGGGGGCTGGTAACGTGGCGATTCGCATTCACAGACGGCGCTGGCTCGAATCGTGACGTGACCAGGGTGGGGGGGAGGGGGGGCGGGGCCGGTGCCGGTGACTGGAGTTATGGCGAATCAGATCAGCATTGGCCCCAAATTACATTGTATTTTGGAGTCGTTTACTTGTTTTTTTTTCTGCGTGAGAGGGGGAACAACAAGTCTGTCTCTGTTTTTGTCTCTGTCTCTGTCTGTCTGTGTGTGTGTCTGTCTGTCTGTCTATCTGTCTGTCTGTCTGTCTGTCTGTCTGTTTGTCTGTCTATCTTTCCAGCTGTCTGTCGGTCTGTCTTTCCAATTGTCTGTTTGTCTTTCCAACCGTCGGTCTGTCTCTCTTATTTCTTTATTTGTTTTCTCTGTCTCTCTCTCTCTCTCTCCATCTTTCTCCTCCTCCATCTCCAGGATCCATCTTGATCCGATCGATCGATTCCGGCCTTTACGTGTTCTTGACAGCACTGGGGCCGTTTTTCTTCTTTCCGTGTTCCACTTTTCGCTCCCGATTCGACCGACACGTGTTGAATACAGCACCTCATAACGTGGGCGTCAGGCAGGCGGCACTCTACAAGCGTGTTGAACACGCAATGAAAACAGGAAAAGCACGGGCAGGCGGGCCGCCAGCCGATCCTGGACCTGAGCACGTGACAATCGCGGCGCCCAAAACGTCGATATCCAAAGCGGAAAGCGGATGTAATCATCGACGTTCGTCCTCAAAACGAGTAACACCCCCCCCCGTTTCCAAGAACATCTACGTTCTGGCCAGTCCGATCCGAGTCAGTTCTGATGTTCCGACGATCCGTTCCGCCCGATGCTCGCATGGTGCTGCTGTGCACCTCGGCGCAGGTGAGCCGAGGCGGTTTCGGCTCCGTGCCGATGCGGCCATTTCCTGCGCGCACTTGGAGTCGATCCGCTCTCCCGAGTCGATGCAGACGGATCCTGCTGAGGGCCTCGGCTCCGCAGCGGAAAAATAGAGAGACCACACGCAAACAGAGAACCCGCCACTGGGCGGCTGGGGCCCACCTCTGGGCGGTGGCACGCCAGAGGCTCGTGCGGCACCGGGCTCCGCGGGCGACCCGTGTGCACCGCACCGCGCTGGCGTCTCCCGAGGCCGTCGCCGGTCCTCGACCCGGGAAGCTGCTGCCCTCCCCCTCCTCCTCCTCCCCCTCCTCCCCCTCCCCCTCCTCCTCCTCCTCCTCCTCCTCCTCCTCCTCCTCCTCCTCCTCCTCCTCCTTCCTGCCCCCCGGGCCGCGAAGCCAGGCACCGTGCCGCGCGGGAGCGGTGCCCGGAGAGGAGCTGAGCACGGTGCGGCAGGGCGCCTGGGCGCCCTTCTCGCACGGGTGAGATCCTCGGGCGCGCCGCCGCCCGGGGGTGGCGCCCGACTCCTTCCAGAGGTTCGGCGGCGAGCGCGGGGGGGAAGTGAGAGGGAGAAGGCCCTCTCAGTAGGCGGCGGGACTCCTCAGAAGCCCCCGCGCCCTCTGAGAAGTTCTTGCCTCCGTCTTCGGGGAAGGCCTCTGGGAAGCTTCTCGGAAGGCCGGGGGACTTCCGAGCCTTCTGAGAAGGCCTGCCCCTTCTCACTTCCCCCCCTCGCTCGCCGCCGAGAGCTGGCCTCCCTTGCCGCCGGCCTCGGGCTCGGCGGGAGCGCCTCTCGGTGGCGCGACTCCTGCGCGCCGCGCCGCGCCGCGCCGCCGCCCGATCGCCGACTCCCGGGAAAGGCTCGGAAGATATGGGAAGTGTGGGGGGGACGAGAGCTCGGAACATATAGGAAATCATATGGGGAATCCTGGGATACGCGTCTAGTGATTTGTGCGTCCCGGGGCCCCTTTAGTGACGCCCGACTCACTCCGGAGACGGCCTCCCTTGCCGTCGGCCTCGGGCTCGGCGGGAGCGCCTCTCTTGGCGGCGCGACTCTTGCGCGCCGCGCCGCGCCGCCCTTCCGCCCGCGGGGCAGCCGGGCCCCGCGCGCGATGCGCGCGGAGGCGGAGGGCGGAGTCGAGATGGAGGTGCAGGCCTTCCAGGCGGCCCGGCTTTTGCTGGAGATTTTCCTCCTCCTCCTCCTCCTCCTCTTCCTCCCTCCTCCTCTTCCTCCCTCCTCCTTCTCCTCCTCCTCCTCCATGCGCTGGGGGGGAAACGGAGTCGAGATGGAGGTGCAGGCTTTCCAGGCGGCCCCTCTTTCGGAGGCCTAGAGGTTGACACCAACACCAATATCGGCGATGTGCTTCCACTGAGGGGAGATGATCACGACCTCGGTGATGGTGGTAAGATTCGGTCTTCCAGGGTGGCCGAAAGATCGCTACTAACACCAAAATCTAGGATCACCTCCCTCTGGTGGAGACAACCCTCGGTGTTAGTGTTGGTGCCCATTTCTGAGCCTCCGAACTTTTGCTGGAGGTTGCCTCCCATCGGCACGAACGCGCCATGGGGGAAGCGGGTCCTCAGGGAAATGGGTCCTGAGGTTCTTCGCCGTTTTCGGGCTCTCGGGGCCCTCAACGGGCCCCAGGACTGTCGGAAAACGTCTCAAGATGAAGATCTCGTCCTGGGGGAAGGCCCCAGTGAGATCGATAGTTTGATCGATAGTGAGATCGATAGTGAGATCGGTAGTGAGATCCATAGTGAGATCGACAGTGAGATTGATAGTGGGGTGTCTTGGGCGCCTATGGGGCCGGGCCGTCTTGGGGCCCTCTTGGGCCGTCTTGGGGCCGTTTTGGGGCCGTCGAGACATCCCCGCAATCTGGGCGCGAACGGATGAATGAGATCCCCCCTGGCGGCCCCCTCTTGGGTGTGCTGAAACCAGCGCATCGCCCGAGACATCCTCAGATTATGTTCCGCCACCATCATCATCATCATCATCATCATCATCATCATCATCATCATCATCAGCATCGTTATCATCATCATATTCATCATCACAATCATCATCATGACCATCTTCATCTTCATCACCATCACCATCACCATAACCATCTTCACCACCACCACTACCACCAACATCATCACCATCATTATCATTATCGTCATCATCAGCATTTGCTCCATCATCATTGCCATCATTCGCATAATCATCAGTAGCATCACCATCATCATCGTCATCATTCTTAGAAGTATTATTATCTTTATCATGATCATTATAATCATCATTGCCATCATCATCCTCACCGTCATCATCACCACAGTCATCCCTCTTATCATCATCCACATCATCATCATCATCATCATCATCATCATCATCATCATCATCATCATTATCACCATCACCATCACCATCACCATCAGCATCTTAATCATTATCGTCATCAAGACCATCGCACCATCATCATCACCATCATCGTCACAATCTACCATCATGGACATCATCATCACTATCATCGTCAGCATCATTATCAACATCATCGCCAATCATCATCACTTGGATAATCACCTTCATATCATCATCATCATCGTCATCATCATCATCATCACTATCATCATCACCACCACCACCATCATCATCATCATCATCATCATCATCATCACCATCATCATCATCATCATCATCATCATCATCATCATCATCATCATCATCATTGTCATCATCATCAGAACCAGAGTCGTGACCCTGAGCGTGTCCCTGAGTTTCAGTAACTCTGAGCGAGGAAGAGGAGGAAGAGGAGGAGGAAGAGGAGGAGGAGGAGGAGGAGGAGGAGGGGGAGGAGGAGTAGGAGGAGGAGGTCTGAGTGAGTTAGTGAGTGAGTAAGTGAGTCTGTGCGTGAGTGAGTGAGTGGGTGGGGTGGGTGGGTGGGTGAGTGAGTGAGTGAGTGAGTGAGTGAAGAGTCGCGGCGGTCGGAATAATCTCAAGAACTCCATCTTTTGGATATGGGAAATTATTTTCAACCATTGGTGGGACCCCGGTCCGTCAACAAGCGCGTCGAAAGGATAATTCGGTTCCTCTATTGGGGGATTCTCTAAAGACCATCTCGGTTACGGAAAGAGTGGTGACGAAGACCGACAGCAGTTTCTGTGTATTTTTCTGGATCTCCCAGATGGGGTCCGAGTAGGTGGGGTCGGAGGATCGTGCCGCATCGCCGATGCATCGCCGATGTGGCTTGATGTGGATCCCGATGTTCTATACGCTGACGTCGCCGATGCATCGCCGATGCATCGCCGATGCATCGCCGACGTTGGTGATGCGGTGCGATTCTATGACCCCATCTACTCGTTGGGAGTACTCTCAGTTTGGACCAGGTTGGCTGTCGGTGTCGCCGCGAACGTTGTCCACTTGAGAAGAACAGCCGCCTGCCCAGCAAGGGCCGCTGTCGGTTTCAGACGACATTCGCTGTTGAGCATCGTGCCCATTTTTCCGTACCCATTCTGGGCGTACCAAGGATTGTTTGTGGATGTTTTGGTGCCGTTTTGGGCTGCCTTGGGGCGTTTGGGCAGCCTCTGACGTGACCCTGAGCCCCGTCCCTCTTGGGTCTCTTTCGGGCGGTCTTGGCCTGGGCCGTTCTGGAGCCGTCGTTCGGTTTGGCCCCCATCGGACTCTCTGGATACCACCCGCATCTCCAAAGCATGGGAAGAACAAACCGAGGAGCATCAGCATGCTTTGATGGCTTTGGGTGTATGGGCTCCCCATGGCCGCTGTTGGAGCCTCTCTGAGGGCCTCTGGGGGCTTGGGCATCGTACATGTCTTCTTGGACCGTCTTGGAATCAGTGCATCGCATCTTACATGCGTTGTAAGCTGGCAGGGAGGCGTCACTCTGGGAGGGGTGGGGGGGTGGGGGTGGCGGAAAGCTGTTTCGAAACTCGCAGGGGCCCTATAGTGCGGACCCATGGCAAGAAACACCCTGCCTGCCTCTAGGGTTCCCTGGGTTTCTTGGGTTTCGATGGTTTCGCTATTGAAAGCGTGACGCTCCCACACCAAAAATCAATAGACGTCCTGGGGTCTCAGGGTTGGGTTTCTGGTGGAAAGTTTCTTGTGGTCGGGCCCCTACTGTAGCATCTTACATGCTTTGGAAACTGGCGGGGAAGCGCCGAGGAGGAGGATGAGGAGGAGGAGGAAGAGGAGGAGGAAGAGGAGGAGGAGGAGGAGGAGGAGGAGGAGGAGGAGGAGGAGGAAGTGTCCAGATGACCAAAAGATCTCAATCAGGAGTTGTTCACGGACCCTCCTCACCCTCTGCGAACATTTTTCTGAGACACGTCTGCAGACCATGCTCGAGTGAGCAGTAGAGACGCCGAGGCAATCGCACATTGACGTATGTATGGTACAGGAGTCATGGTGGAGGGGGAGACTCCGGTAGCCTGCACGCAGCAGCGGTTCAGTGATGCTCGTCATTTTTTGGTCGGTGCCTCTCGAAAACATGAATAACGAGGCTGTCGAAGGTCGGCTGGTCCTACCAGGGCCCTCGGGCCTCTGCTCCTCCTTCACTGACTCTGCAAGGGCCTCTCCGCTCTCCCACCCCGTCTTGCAGCCCTCGCAGAGAGCCCGCGCGCTTCTGCAGTCCTGGCCGCACCCGAGGGGATGAGGCCCATCGAGCACGAGCCCGCTCGGGAGGCTCTCGTCGGCGGCGAGCGAGGGGGCGGGGGGGGGGCGAGCGGGCGAGGGGGGGGGGGCGAGGGGGCGGCGAGCGAGAGGGCGGGGGGGGGGGGCGGAGGGCGGCGGGACTTCTCAGAAGCCCTCCAGCCTTCTGAGGAGTTCTCGGGCTCCTCGGGGAAGGCTTCTCAGAAAACTTCTCAGAGGGCCGTGGGGCTTCCGAGCCTCCTGAGAAGGCCCGCCCCTTCTCGCTTCCCAGCTCGCTCGCCGCCGATCGTGGGGAGTCCCGAAGAGCTCCCAGCGCGATCGTGGAGGTTCTCCCCTGGGGCTCGCCAGGAGCTACAGGTCTGCAGTCGAATGTCATGCACCCCTCGCTTCTGTCCGTCCTTGGCGTGTTTTCTGGGTCCTCGGTCCACGGGGCTCCTGCCATCGTGGCGCGTTCCAGGGGCCCTGCGTCCGTGTTGTACTCCTCGTGGCAGCTTTTTGCGGTATGCTCAGGGTGTCGGAAGCCCTCTCCCTCCAACGTCACGACCGTTTCGTGGCGTGGGGCTGTCGACCCCCTCCCTGTGGCTGGGGCGATCCTGGCCAAGCCCCTCCTGGGTTAAGGATGGGCTTGATCAGGATCGCCGTAGGCGCTTAGTTTCGGCGGCGAGCGAGGGGTGTGTGAGAAGGAGAAGTCCTTCTCGGAAGGCGGCGGGACTTCTCAGAAGCCCTCGCGCTTTCTGAAAAGGTTTCGGTGTCTTCGGGGAAGGCTTAGAACACTTCTCAGAAGGCCAGGGCTACTTCCGAGCCTTCTGAGAAGGCCTTCTCCTTCTCACTCCCCCCCCCTCGCTCGCCGCCACCAGTTGGCGCCCTCCCATTTCGGTTCCCCCCCCCCCCCCCCCCCGAGGCGCTTCTGCGTCGGCCCGGGGCTCCCTTTCCTGAGCCCTGGGCGCCGTTCGTGGCGAACCACCCAGCCGTCTCCGTTCTCGAGAGCGCTCTGGCGACGCAGGGGTGCACGACGAGGGGGGCCGAAAGCTGGACGGAAGGAGAGCGGAGAGGCGGAGACCGGCCGGCAGCGGCTCCCCCTGTGGAGGAGGGCCCGCTGGCCCGCTGCCGCCGCGGCGTCCGCGCCGCCTGCCGCCTGCCTGGCGTCCTTGGCGGGCCACGTACACATGGTTCATTTCTTATTCTTCGAGAGTTCTTTGGTTTTTTTGGGGCCAGGATCCGCTCATTTCTGATTGCTCTATCCTGGGCCTCTTCCTGGCCCTTAGGGGGGCAAGGAACACTTAGAAGCGAGCACAATCAGGAAGGAGCACGACTAGAAATGACCGACGCGTATCCGTGTCCACGGTCTCGCGGTCCCGCCACCTTGCAGGTGAGGGCCTCGGGCCCCATGCATCCAGGGCCCCGTGGCCTGGAAGGCTGCATCCCTAGGGGAACAAAAAGTGATATAAACATAAAAACTCAGAGGTCCGCGCGGATTTCTCGTATCGGCGCCGGGGCCCCTCGGCGGCGCCTCCGGCGCCGCCCCTGGCGCGCTCCGCGCGCCAAGGAGGGGGGTCCAGCGCCGATCCGAGAAATCCGCGCGGACCTCCGAGTTTTTATGGTTAAGTATGTCACTTTTTGTTCCCCTGATACATCCACGGCCCCGTGGCCTGGGAGGCTGCATCCCGTTTCCACGGCCTTCCGGAGGTGCCCGCCGGCCCGTGGCCTCTTCCAGCTGTGCTCCAGCCGTGCCCTCAGGCGCCCGGGCCCTGCCCCGCTTTTGGCCCCCCCTCTCCGTGGGAGCACGTCGTGCGGGTGTTTCGTCACCGCCGCGGCCTCGCGGCCCGCGAGGGCACGGGTGCGGATGTGTGTTCCTCGCTCGTGGCAGCCGCGGTCGCCGTCTGGGGCAGCGCCCACCTGTTCGGCATCGCCTCCAGCTTCGCTGCTCCCACTCCGGGCGGGGGGCATCCCCGAGAGGGCCCCGGGCCAGGCCCTCTGTGCCATTCCCCCGCTTGATCACGTCGGGCGCGGCCGTCTTCACCGCTCGCCCGTTCGCTCGGCAGTGGTCACCGTCCCCCCTCCTGTGCTCTGGGTAGGGCTACTTGCGTGTCGGTTTTTGGCATGTGCGCCAGACTCCGAGGAGCCCAGTTCAGACTAGGTCAGATGCCCCAGTGCACAGCGGGGTGACGTCTCTTCGCTTCGCGGCAGATCCGTTCCCTCCCTCCCTAGGGGAACGAAGCATGACATAAACATAAAAAACTCGGAGGTCCGCGCGGACTTCTCGGATCGGCGCTGGACCCCCCTCCCTGGCGCGCGGAGCGCGCCGGGGGCGGCGCCGGAGGCGCCGCCAGGGGGGTCCAGCGCGAGTCCGAGAAGTCCGCGCGGACCTCCGAGTTTTTTATGTTTGTGCCATTCTTCGTTCCCCTATGTGTCCCCCGCGCGCAGGCCGAGAAGGGGCTGGACGAGCGCTGCCTGAAGGGCCTCAGAGATCTGCACCCCGGGGAGCGCGCCGCGGCCGGCCGCGGGAGGGGCGGGCGGCCTGGCCCGAGGGCGGAGCGGACGGAGCCACGCAGGTCTCCCGCGGGCCCCTTTCGGCCCTCGTCCTCCTCGTCCTCCTCGTCCTTGTCGTCCTCTTACTGTTTCTCCTCCTCCTGCTTCCCCTCCTCCTCCTCCTCCTTCTGCTTCTCCTCCTCCTCCTCTTCCTCCTCCTTCTCCTCCTCCTCCTCTTCCTCCTCCTCCTCCTCCTCCTCCTCCCAGGCTGGGGCCTCCCGCCCCTTCGCAAAAGGAGAAGTGGCATCACAAGCGCACTCTTCGAAGGTCTGCGCGCGGATCCCTTGGGAGATCGGCTCTGGGCCCCTGTTGCGGCGTCTTCGGCGCCGCCCCTGGCGCGCTATCCGCCTGCCGGCCCAAGAACTCGGCGCGGACCTCCGAGGAGTCATGTCTGTGGAGGATGGTGTTCTTGTGTCCCCAGGAGTCGTGGCTGGAGGGGGTTCGCTGGGGGAACGAACAACGACATAAGCACAAATACTCGGAGGTCCGCGCGGATTTCTCGGATCGGCGCTGGACCGTGCCGATTCGGCCCCACAGCACGGCAGACCAGCACGGCAGACCAGCACGGCAGACCCGCACTCCGCAGCCGTTTTGGCTCAAGCCAGCTTGGTCCAGGCTCGCTTGGCTGGGCCACGGCGCGGGAGGGCGGCAAGCGCTGCTCGCCCTGGCAGGCGCGGTCCCGAGGCCCGGCGCGCCGCCAAAGAGTGGGCTCGCCTCTCGGCGGACCGAGCCCTCGCAGAAACGGTCCGACGAGCTCGGGAGGGAGAGGGGAGCCCGTTCGCAGCTGCAGGGCGCTGTTGCTGCCTTTCTCGGGGACCCAGGGCTGGCCGAGCGGCTCCTGGCCATCGTGCCATACCTCCAGCCGCTGCTCGAGGGCCGTCCCCCGTCGGCGTCGGAGTCGCGGAGGCGCGGCGTCGCCCTGCGTGCGGATGCTCGGGGAGCCGGTGCGGCGACGGCCTCGGACGCGCAGGTCCACAGCGGTTCCAGAAAGGGGCCCAGGCAGGAGAGCCGCCGGTCGTGTGCTCCTTCTGGGCGGGGGGGGCTGTGCGGCGAGGTCGTGCCCCCTGGCGAGATGGCGCCCGCTGCAGAGGCAGCCGTGGGCGCGCCGACGGTCAGCACCGAGGAGCAGGCGTTGCAGTCCGACCCGGCCGAGGAGCAGGAGAACGGAGGCTGCCAGGAGCGGGGGCCCATCGCATGCCTGGTCGAGGTGTGCGTGGCCGACGCCTCTGACGACGCTGGGGAGGAAGGGGAGGCGCCAGGGGCCGCCTTAGCCACGCTGCCCGTAGAGGTGGCGCCGCTGCCGGCGCCCAGGCTACTCCTCCATGAACGGCTCCGCCTTGCCCAGGTCTGCCCGGTGCTGCTACAGCTGGATTCGCGAGGTCCGCCCTCGCCTGCGGGTCCTGCGAGAGCTTTCGAGCGACCAGGGCGAGAAGGAGCCAGCCGCGGGCCATGTGGAAGGCAGCGCTGCATGCGCCGAGGCGTCGCCGCTGCCGCAGGCCAGCGGAGCTGATATCGTCGGCCGAGGCGGTGACGCCGTGCTCGGCCACGCTTGCGGGACAGCAGGCATCCCGCGTGCGCCGCCCTCGCTCGTGGCGCCACCGTGGGTGCCCCTCGGCGAGGCGGTAGGCCGCAGCGTTCAAGGCATCCTGCCGGGACAGGGCCTCGCCAAGATGGCGTGGCGTGACGTCGTCGCGAGGCTTCTCGACCAGCTGGTGGCGGATGCTGTGCATGAGTTTTGGGGCAATGCTGCTGGCGGTCTCCGCGGGCTGGTCGAGAAGGAGTTCTTTCGCCAGGGCGCGCTGTTGAGTGGCACCGACGGCGCCCCTCGGACGAGAGGCTCGCGGCCATCGCGGCGGCCGTCCAGGCGGATCCCGATTGTGCACAGCAGTCCCTGGCGGGCCTTCGAGAGCAAGTGGAGATCTGGTGTGGGCTGCCTGTTCGCACGGTGCGAGGTCGTGCAGCCGTCTTCGCAGGAACGCTGGCGCCGTGCAGGTGACTCTTGGGGGTGTTCGGGCTGCTGCCATGCGCCCTGGGGAGTGCTGCGGTGCAGACCCTAAAGGCTGTCTTCCCTTCTCCTGTCCTCGGCGCGCTTTGGCTTTGGATTTCTTCGCTGGGATTTTCGTCGCTGTGTGCAGCAGTGACCGTTGAGGATGCGGCTCGGTGGTCAGGTTGAGCTTTCATCGTTGTGCTGATTCTGTGCGCAGGGCCGTTGAGGCTCGGGATCCTGGGTCGAGGCTTCAGGCAGGCGGTCCGCCTGGCCCTTACCCGGAGGGGGATCGAGGGCCCGGTCGAGGAGCCTCTCGGCGCTGCTTTCCCCTGGTTTTCCTCCGCCCTTTCGTGGGTTTTCTCGCTTCCCTGCCTTTGAGGCCCAGACATTCGCATTCGCATTCGGCAGGCCCGCGCGGCGGGCCAGCGCGGCATGCCAACGCGGCAGACCAGCGCGGCAGACCAGCATTCCGTAGGCGTTTTGACTTAAGCAATTCGTTTTTGAGCTGGCTGCGACGCGCGAGGGCGTCGCCTCCGCTGTCGCTCTTCCGCCGCCCTCGCCGCGCATTGGCGGCCGCCGCGGCGGCGGCGGCGGCGGCGTCGCGCGGGGTCGACGGCGAAGCGCGCGAGTGGCCCGAGGAGCTGCCGTAGGCGCAGCGGCTTTCGGGGCTGCCCTGGCTGGGATCCTCCAGGCGCGGCTCCCGTGCGGCGGCTGCGGCGGTGGCTGCTGCGGCGTGGGGCGCCGCCCTAGGGGTGATTCTTTTTTTCCGCTGGATGGCGCGCCCAGCGGCGGGCCGCGCGCGGGCCGAGAGGGTGGAGGAGGCCCCGCTCGCCGTCCAGGCCGCAGCGGGGTTTGCTCAGAAGCCCGCGGTGTCGTTTGCCAAGGGCGTCCTGCGAGGGCGTGGGCAGATCGGGCGCCGCCTCGGCGGCCGCCTCGGGCGCGTGTGGAAGGCGCGCAATGCGGAGTGCCACCCAGACGTCGCCCTGCCCGCCGACGTCGAGGCCCTCTTGGAGTTCGCGAAGGCGGAGGGCGGCATCGCCGGCAGCAATTTGAATGAGGCCAGTGAGAACGCCGCCGAGGGGGCGCCCCAGGTGTCGCTCGCGCAGCCGCGCGGGGGCCGCAGGCGCCGCCGCCGAGGCGCCGCCTCCAGCAACGCCCAAGACGAGGGCGAAGAGTTGGGCCAGTCGCTGGGCGAGGGCGTCGCCGTGGAGCCGATTGCGCCGAGCTTCGGGGAGGGGCCCGATGCCCCGCGCGTCGGTGTTGTGACGGAGGTCAACGGGAAGGTCAGGTGGGCTGCAGCCGGTCTAGGCCACGCAGTCGGCGGCACCTTCGATGGCGCGCTCGCTGGGGAGGCGCAGGCGTTCATGCTCTCCCGGGTGGCCGTCCCACCCTTCGCGCGCGGGGGCGTCGCGGAGGGCGCGTGGCTGCTCGGTCTTGCTGGCGCCCGTTTGCCCGGACACGTGCGCTTGCCTCGCAGCGACTGAGAGAACGCGGCAGGGCGCGGTTTGAGTTTCCAGCCTCCTGTCGTCTCCTGTCAAGATGTGGATTCGGGCTGCCGCCGTGGGTCCTGGGGAGTGCTGCGGCGCAGACCCTAAAGGGAACTTTAGCGACGTCCATGGGGCTCTCGCCTTTGCTCCTGCTGCCAGCTTGCTCCGCTGTGTTCTTGCTTTCTGGCGCCTTAGTTGCAGTTGTGCTTCTGGGCTGCGCGGTCGAGTCGCGACGAAGGCCCTGGGGTGTCTGGCCCCCCGAGGTTTTGTGGCCCCGCTGGGCCTCTGCGCCCGCGGGGTGCCTGGCGTCTCGGGATGCGGCTTTGGCCCTGTCGGTGTCCCCGATGATCGGCAGGCCATGTCTGGTGGGGGGGCTTCGGCTTGGAGACCTGAGTCCTGCCTTCGGCGGGTCGTCCTCCTCCGCGCCCTGGCCCGAGGGGGCCGCCCCTTTTCTTCTTGTCTTCTCCCTCGGGGGTCCCCCCCCCGTGCCAGTAAGGCCCTGACATTCGCAGCGGGCAGGCCAGCGCGGCAGACCAGCACGGCAGGCCAGCGCGGCAGACAAGCGCGGCAGACCAGCATGGCAGACCAGGGCGGCAGACCAGCGCGGCAGACCAGCGCGGCAGGCCAGCGCGGCAGGCCAGCGCGGCAGGCCAGCGCGGCAGACCAGCACGGCAGACCAGCGCGGCAGGCCAGGGTGGCAGACCCGCACGGCAGACGGACGCAGCAGACAAGCACGAAATACCAGCACGGTAGACCAGCGCAGCTGGCCGGCACGGCGGACCAGCGCGCCGGGCCAGCGCGGCAAACCAGCGCGGCATGCCAGCGCGGCAGACCAGCGCGGCAGACCAGCTCGGCAGGCCAGCGCCGCGGACCAGCGCGGCAGGCCAGCGCGGCAGACGAGCACGGCAGACGAAAGCGGCAGAACAGCACGGCAGGCCAGCGCGGCAGACCAGCGCGGCAGACCAGTATGACACACCAGCGCGGCAGACCAGCGCGCCAGACCAACGCGGCTGGCCAGCGCGGCAGACCAGCGCGGCAGACCAGCACGGCAGGCCAGCACGGCAGACCAGCACGGCAGATCAGCGCGCCAGACCAGCGCGGCAGATCAGCGCGGCAGACCAGCGCGGCATGCCAGCGCGGCAGACAAGCGCGGCAGACCCGCTTCCCGTAACAATTTCGCATCGAGCCATGCTCTGGTGCGCGCGGCATGCGGGCGCTTGGGCGGGGTGGCGCGGGAGGTCTTCGCGAGGCACATCTGGAGCGCGCGCCTCCGCGGGCCGCCTCGTGCAGCGGCCGGCGCGCGAGCTGGCCGAGGCCCGGGGCGAGGCAGCCAGGCTCCGCGTGCTGCTCGAGGCGAAGCTCGACGCCGACGGGGGCCCCGAGGTGCTGCGGCGCGAGGCAATCACGCGGCCCGAATTGGCTGCCCGCGTCGCAGGAAAGCCCGAGGCCCCAGCGGCCAGGCGCCAGCGCAACGTGGCATGGCGCGCCGCCTTCTGCCTGGAGGCTGGGGCGGAGCCGTCCGCCCGGCGCAGGGCCGAGCGCGGGCCCCGTCTGGGCGTGGCCCCCAGCCTGGGGGCAGCGCTGCCGCCGCCGCTGGAGATCGAGATCGAGGTCTGCGTCGCCGAGCCAGCCGTTGCGCTCCCGCGGCCCGCTGTTGTGTGGGTGCGCCTGCGTTCTGGCGCCCTGCCGCCGCGGTCGCGCGGCGCGCCGCTGCGCTCCTCGGCGCGGCCGCGCGTGTCCGCGCGGGGCCAGGTCGGCGCTCTTCTAGAAGCTCTTGGCGTGGAACTGGCCCTGGTGGTCCAAGCGGATCATCTTGCTGTTGGCGATTGCGAGGAGCGACGGGGGGCCGTTCCCGGTCCTTCGCCGCCTCCGCGCGCGTCAGGGCCGAGGCGTTGAGCGGTGGGGCCGAGGAGCGCCTTGCGGCGGCGGTGGCGGCTGCGTTGCGGGTGCCCTTCGCTCCGCTGCCCGACGTCGTCGACGCGGAGGCTGGGGCCCCGGGGGGCCCGGCGGGTGTGCCCGCAGCGCCCCGGGTTGGTCGGGCCCCGCGTGGGCTGCCCAGGCCAGGGCTGTCGCCTCGATGCGCCCCTGCGAGTGCGGGGCGTTCGGCCTTTCCGTTCGGCCGTCTCGGCTCGCCCGGCGCGCGCGGTTCGCCGAGGGGCCAGACTGGGGGAGGCCCCCCGCCAGGTATGTCGGCAGAGCGCGCGCGCGAGCTTGATCGGCTCATTCGCAGGTGCATGAGCAGCGCATGTTGCAGCGACTGAGAGAACGAGGCAGGGCGCGGTTTGAGTTTCCAGCCTCCTGTCGTCTCTTGTCGTGATGTGGTTTCGCTGCCGTCGTGGGCCCTGGGGAGTGCTGCAGCGGAGACCCTAAAGGCACGGTGATGTGAGTGGTGCCTCCTGTTTTTGTATGCGTGCTTTCGGCCGTCCGCTAAGCAGTCCGAGTCCACTCGCATTGGTGCCTCCTGTATTTGAATGCGTCTTTGCGGGGCCTTTCTTTGCAGTTGAGATGCCCCGAGGGGTGAGCGGCCCGCGGCGGGGGGGGGCCAGTTTTGGGCCTTTCGACTGCTGCGTCTCCCGCCTGGCGCCCCCTCGGGAAGGCCCCATTGCGGCTTCGGCCCCTCGGTGGGCCCCTCAGTGGGGCCTCTGGGCCTCAGTGGGCTCCTTTTCTCGCCTTTACGGCCCCGTCATTCGCACTCGCACTCTGCAGACCCGCGCGGCAGACCCTCGCGGCAGACCAGCGCGGCAGACCAGCGCGGCAGACCAGCATGGCAGACTAGCGCGGCAGACCAGTATGGCAAATCAGCACGGCAGACCAACGCGGCAGACCAGCACGACACGCAGTTCGGCAGACCAGCTTGGCAGACCAGCGCATCAGACCAACCCTGTGGGCTGTTGAAAGCATCTGCGGTTATCTTGGGGTATCCAAAGGGCCGCTTCGGGGCCTGTCGGGGCCCTGTTGGGGGCTACTGGGGTCTTTTTGGGCTGCCTGGGCAAGTCGAACGTTTCTGCGAAGGCTCTCTCAGGCCATCTTGGCGCCATCTTGGGCTGTCTTGGGCCGTCTGGGGGCCCTCTTGGGGTGTCCAAGGGCCTCTTCGGACGCTCTTGGGGGCCTCTGGGCAGCTCTTGGAGGCCTCTTGGCGGTCGCTGGGGGCGCTCCAGGGGTCCCCTGGGGTGCTTTCGGGGGCTCTCTGGGGCCGTCTTGAAGACCTCCGGGAGCGATTATGAGATAATATGCTTCGTCGGAGCTTCTGCCAGAACCTACTTGCTGAGGAAATCCCTAGCAACGCGGCCATGCTTAAAAAACCTGACCGGGCAAGAACGGAAGCGTCGAGAACTCTGAAAAGGACGGCAGCCCCAAAAGATCACGAGGACCCCTCTCTTTTTCGACCTCCTCTTCGACGGGTTCCTTACCGTCTTTTTTCGTCGTCGTCCTTGTTCTTCTTCTTCTTGTTCTCTTTCGCTTTGTTCTTCTTCTTCTTCTTCTCCTCCCTGTCCTCCTCCTCCTCCGCTTCGTTCCTCCTCGTACTCGTCCTCCTCCAGCTGTTCCTTGCCCTCGCGCTTGCCTTCCTACTCGTCGTCCTTCTGCCCCCTCGCTGCCCTCCCCGTCATCCACGCTGCCATCCTCGACATCCGCCGCCTTGTCGTTGCCATCATCCTTTTCTGCTTGTCCTCCCTGATTGCCCCATGGACAACGCTGGCGCTTCCCGCTCTTGTCCGATCAGGTTGTATTTCCATCGCGCGCCGGGCATTTTCTCCCGAGGGGCCTTTTTCGAGAACTTCCGTTCTACTTGCCGCTTTTGGTTGTGTGTCCAGGCATTCGAAACCTGGCTCTTGCCAGGAACAGGCCCCACCATCATAATTCGTCTGGCCTGGAGGTGGAGGAGGAGGAGGACGAGGAGGAGGAGGAGGATGAGGGGGAGGAGGAGGAGGAGGAAGAGGAGAGGCATGGCCAGGCACAACCGAGCTACGGCCCTTACGCCGCTCTCATCATATTCTTTCTTGCCGTCATCCTCCTTCTGTGCAGGAACTCAAGCTCAAGCCACCGTGCGCTGTCAACTCCTTTGCATCAGCATTTTTTGCCCGACCCCAGGCCTCAAACAAGCAAGCGCGGACGCGTCCCTCATGGCTGCCTTCCGGTACTCTTTCCTGGTTGCGTTTTTGTTCTTGGGCCCAGCCGCCGTCCCTGGCATTGATGCGGCTCGGGTCAAGTCGGCCTATGAGTCAGAGGCCGGGGACGGCAAGGCCGCCTCCAACGCGACGGCAGCGTCAGCTTCGAAGGAGGGCAAGACGGCCTATGAGCTCTTGTGCGGTACCCGCCTTGGTGTGAGGAAGTGGATCGAGAACCCGTGCGGCATGTTCAGCCCCACGTGCCAGAAACTGGACTTCAAGTGCGACGGCGATTCGCGCGTGGAGGAGCTGACGATCGGATGGCACCAGGACACGCTGGGCCTCGGCTCGCTCGCCAACCTCCTGGCGCCTCGCACGGGCTGGCCCATCCTGGACTCCCTGGCCGAGAAGATCGGCACCTTCATGACCTTCAAGATCAGCAAGGACCTCACGCCTGTTGAGGAGCCAGGCAAGCCGCTTGTCACCCGCTACTTCTTGCAGTCTTTCGGCTGCGAAGGCCCGAAGGACGAGTGCTACATCCCGTGGCCTGAGTACGAGCCGATCCGAGAGACGGGAGTCAACGTGGGTGTCACACGCTTCTACCTCGCCTACAGCGAGGAGGTTCCAGGGCACCCCGAGGCCCGCATCGAGATGGGCCAGTGGGCAACGAGACATTCGAAGTCCAATTTTACGCTCCTTGGGACGGGCGTGGAACCACCGCCGACGCTGTTGTTTGCAGGCTCGACAGGTACAGGCTGCGCAAAAAACATGCCCTGTGATAAGCCCGAGAACCACGAGGTGCCTGTGCCGTTCAAGGAGTTCGAGGTCACGACCTACCATCTGATGGAGTACCCCCAGGGTTCCGGCCTGTACCAGCTCAAGAGCGACATGAACAAGGCTGTCCAGGAGGAGACCGTAATCCACAAGTTCAAGGAGAACAACTGATGCCGCGGCGTGTTGTTCAGTGGGGCAAGACCCCTCAGCGCGCAGGGCTCCCCAGAGAGAACTCCCCTCGCCAACATTGCCTTGCGCAGGGCATCCTGATGTGACCCCTACCGCCCGGCCGCTGTGGTCCACGCTGTCTCGCAGTCCAGCCATGGAGTCCAGCATCTACCTTTTGCAAACGGTATCTCCTTCAGGCCGGGTCCGAGCAGAAAAGAGAAAGCAGATGAGGCGCCTTGCTACGCTTTCTGTCTCTCCGTCTCCGTGCCTCATTCTCTGTATTGGAGAGGTCTTACGGTCAGCTCCGACGACCTAGAAGGTGAATCAGGAGGCCCCCGGAAGGCCGTGAGGGAGCCGAGAAGCGCATTAAGGTAGGTCGACGTTTATCCCAGAACTGCTTGAGTAGCACCTCGAGACTGGAGCAGAGAGATACCTCCTTTCCGGCTCTATCGAAGACGCCTACGGCGAATCACCGCCGCCCCCTGCCTTTGGAATCGCCCATGTGGCCGAGCGTTGTGGCAAGAGCTCTGCCAAGCTATCTGACCACGTGTTCCCCCAGCCGTTATGGAAACCATTCGGGGAACGCTTGGGGGAGGATGGCGGGGAAGATCAGGAGGAGGAGGAGGAGGAGGAAGAGGAGGAGGAGGAGGTGGAAGAGGAGAAGGAGGAGGAGGAGGAGGTGGCATCTTGAGTGCCTCTGGGAGCACTCGCTGGGCCTCCTGGGCGCTTCCTGGGAGCCTCTTGGAGGCATCATGTCTCACCTTTTCGGCATGTAGTTGGGAGAACAGACCCGTCGCCTGTTCTGCGGAGCTCTGAATCCTGAAGGAGGAAGCGGAGGAAGAGGAGGCAGCGGAGGAGGAGTTGTTGTATGACGATGATGATGATGATGCTGCTGCTGATGCTGCTGCTGCTGCTGCTGATGATGATGATGACGATGCTGCTGCTGCTGATGATGCTGATGATGCTGATGATGATGGTGAGGATGGTGATGGTGATGATGCTGATGATGCTGATGCTGATGATGATGCTGATGATGATGCTGATGATGATGATGATGATGATGATCATGATGATGATGATGATGATGCTGATGCTCATGATGATAATGATGATGCTGATTATGACGACGATGATGATGATGATGCTGATGCTGGTGCTGCTGATGATGCTGATGATGCTGCTGATGATGATGACGATGATGATGATGATGATGATGCTGATGATGATGAGGATGCTGATGATGCTGATGATGATGATGCTGATGGTGCTGATGATGATGTTGATGATGATGATGGTGATGCTGATGATGGTCGTCTCCTCCCCCAGGTAACGGTAACGATCGTAGGTGGGGAAGGGTGATGATGATGTTGATGCTGATGCTGATGCTCCTGATGATGATGATGATGATGATGATGCTGACGCTGATGATCATGATGATGATGAAGAAGGTGAATATGTGATGATGATGATGATGATGATGATGATGATGATGATGATGATGATGATGATGATGATGATGATGATGATGATGATGATACTGATGATGATGCTGATGATGACGATGAAGATGATGATGATGATGATGATGATGATGATGATGCTGATGCTGATGATGATACTGATGATACTGATGATGATGATGCTGATGATGAGGATGCTGATGATGCTGATGCTGATGCTGATGCTGATGCTGATGATGCTGATGATGCTGATGATGATGTTGATGATGATGGTGATGATGATACTGATGATGGTGATGATGATGCTGTTGATGCTGATGATGCTGATGATGCTGATGCTGATGCTGATGCTCCCGATGATGATGCTGAAGCTGATGACGATTGTGATAATAATGATAATGGTGCTGATGATGATGATGATGATGATGATGATGATGATGACGATGCAGATGATGATGATGCTGATGCTGATGCTGCTGCTGATGATGCTGTTGATGTTGTTGATGATGCTGATGATGCTGCTGCTGATGATGATGATGGCGATGCTGATGATGATGATGATGTCGATGATTATTAAGATGATGATGCTGATGATGGATGCTGATGCTGATGCTGATGCTGATGCTGATGATGATGATGATGATGATGATGATGATGGTCGTCTCCTCCCCCAGGTAACGGTAACGATGGTAGGTGGGGAAGGGTGATGATGATGCTGATGCTGATGCTGATGCTCCTGATGATGATGATGATGCTGATGCTGATGATGAGACTGATGATGATGATGATGAAGATGAAGATGAAGATGTAGATGATGATGATGATGATGATGATGATGATGATGATACTGATGATGATGATGATGATGATGATGATGATGCTGATGATGACGAGGACGATGATGATGATGCTGATGCTGCTGATGATGGCGATGATGCTGATGATGATGATGCTGATGATGAGGATGCTGATGATGCTGATGCTGATGCTGATGCCGATGCTGATGATGCTGATGATGATGAGGATTATGATGATGCTGATGATGATGATGATGATGATGCTGATGCTGATGATGATGATGGGGATGATGCTGTTGATGCTGATGATGCTGATGATGCTGATGCTGATGCTGCTGTTCCCGATGATGATGCTGAAGCTGATGACGATTGTGATGATAATGATGATGGTGCTGATGATGATGTTGATGATGATGATGATGATGACGATGCAGATGATGATGACGATGCAGATGATGATGATGCTGATGCTGATTCTGCTGCTGATGATGTTGATGATGCTGATGATGATGAGTATTATGATGATGCTGCTGATGATGATGTTGATGATGATGCTGATAATGCTGCTGCTGCTGATGATGATGCTGATGATGATGATGATGATGGCGATGCTGATGATGCTGATGATGATGTCGATGATGATGAAGATGATGATGATGATGCTGATGATAGATGCTGATGCTGATGCTGCTGCTGCTGATGATGATGATGATGATGATGATGATGATGATGATGATGATGGTCGTCTCCTCCCCCAGGTAGCGGTAACGGTCGTAGGGAGGAAAGGGTGATGATGATGGTGCTGATGTTGATTATGCTGATGATGATGCTGATGATGC